GCCCAAAGAGGCCGATTTGTGCACAGTGACGATAACACGTGTTATCATAGAAGTACTGATTTTATGGCATCTGAATTTATTCTACGATCGTCAGTCACGTGAGTAAAGGCTGTGTCTGGAAACACATTGGAATTCTGGGTGGCACTTGTTACTTCCCATTACTCTAGGAACGAATACTTGCGCACAAAATGGGATCGTTTGGGAGAACGCGTTCTACATCAATTTGGCTGGTCGCTCACTTCGGCTCAGAGGGGCATTTTGCGCTAATTTCCTTTCTTTCTTTTACTGGTTCTTGTAAAATTAGTTGTCTTTTCTTGGTAAGACCCTTGCTGGTAAGAAACCTGTAGACCCTTGCTTATGCTATTGCATGGCTTTGCAGGAATTTACACGTCTTGACAGAAAGGCTCGTGGATCCACAAAACTGGCCCCCCCCCCCCACGGGCCGAGCTGCGCAATTTCACATTTTATTTCATAATTGCTTCTTATTTAGTGGTTTTTTTCTGTTTTGCTACTCAAGATTTCAGTTTCCACATTGATCTTGACATTATAGACCAGATATCTTGATTTGGCTACAGAGTTTTGGCTTTTGTATTGTAGGCTTCAACGACAGCTAGAAGAGAGGGTAAGGAGGGGGGGGGGAGGGCAGGATAAAGGGTGATTAACAACGCACATATAATGGGAAGAACCAAGAAAAGTCTCTTCCCCCCAACCGCTAAGCTTCTCTCGTGCATTCGGAAAAGTTCACCCAAAGCCACCCATGACCTCTTCCTCCTTCCCCCCTCACCCATAAGTTCTCCCAACCATGCAGTAAATAGAACGTTTTTATAGCATCTTATCAGCTGGGAAAAATCGGAGCTAAAAAGAATTTTCCACGGCAATGTATAACCCCCTCTCTAGACCCCGCTGGAGCTGCAGAAAAAAGCCTGCGGTTATTATGTGCGACCCCCTCTTCTATTTTACACAACGATGGTGTGTCCAGATTCAGGGTAACCGTCAGCAAAAAGCAGGTAGACAGAAGCGAGCGATATGCAGACGCTGCAAGCCCCTCCAAAGAAAAACATCGTCCGGCTGCTGAAAAAGTCTCCAGAAAATGATTAGTGATAGCGCTAGTGTTCACAGAAAATTCTCATGGGGTCCAAGAGAGGAGCCCAACCTGCAACGGTTATGAACGCTTTACTTATGGTTATCAATGTCCTAACAGCAGTAACTAGCAGTATATATTACCAGTCGCCTCGCCGGCTGACGCCGGCGCGGCTCCTTCTGATACGGCCCGGCTGCGCCGGGCGGGCGCGGCTTCGCCGCGCGTGCTTTCTTTCACATATTTCTAGATTCAACTGATATCCCCCTTTTGTTCTGTACTCCATTTTCCGGTGTCTGAACCGGTGTTGGAGTGTTCTGGAACCGAGCTACAAACATTTAAAATGAATACCCTGCGATTTAGGGCAAGCCCCGCCCACTGTGGGCGGGTCTCAACACGCTTTGAGCGTGCCCTATATTCGCCAGATATTTACATTCTAAACTGAGCTTTTTGCGACTTCCAAACACTCTCGCGAACCGGGTTACTGAATTTTGCGAGAAGCACCGCCCACCTTGAGTACGCCCCGCCCATTTAGGGTGTACCTGCCACAGTTAGTCTGGCGACTCCTTACTAACCTTATTCCCTTTTTCCCCATCTTTAGGCTGCCCCGGAAGCGAATTATGAACATTTTTGTGCGGAACCCCAAACTTTCGGGGAGTGCCCCGCCCACTGTGGGGAGCTTCCCTTAGGTCAAGTGTGCTTTTTATTTCTTGTCCCACGCCCTACCCATCCCCACCTTGACCGGACCTCTCCAAGTCGTTCTTCAGGTCGAACCGAATTTCCGGACAGACAAACTTACAAACAAACAAACTTACAAACAAACAAACTTACAAACAAACAAACAAACAAACTAACAAACAAACAAACAAACAAACAGACAAAGCGAATTATATATATGGGGTGATACTCAGTTTATGATCGCAACCACCTTCCATCAAATAAGTTAACATCTGAGTTGTGGAGCCCGAAACTGACGACGAAAAAGACGTCAATGATTAGTTTTTCTCAAGTGGCGCCTCTTTAAGACAATTTCCGCGACCAGGTGTCAGGGGAAGGGGGTAAGGTCTCCAATCATGAACCAGCAGCCCATAAGTAACTCCCCAATAGGGAAAGAAGCATAAAACCTTGAGGACACCATGAACCCCCTTAGGAGTGGGGTAGGCGCCTTGAACGAACGCAGTCAGCAGGGCACAGGAAATTACCCTACGACGCTCCAGGCAACGCTATGCACACACGCAATTCCGCTTGTAAGCCGTTGTCTTGCAGAGTGAAAGTAATCGTGGTTGCAATGGTTGCAATAATCACGCGTCTCTAGCTTCTTTATCTCGCCGTTTCGAGTGACAAAAGTGGTAGAAGTAGGTTTAACGTCCTCTCATGATAGACTTGCCTGACGTGAGAGGATATAGAGTACGCTGGCTAGCACCCGCGAGTCCTGGTATACATAGGTAAAGTAGCATACAAATGAACGCATTTTCCGGAATAAAAGTGGAAAGCATGACGGATTCCAAAATGGGTCAATGGTTCGAAAGTAGGCAGTCTCTGCAAATGCGGACAACGATGCCATGTGCTCGGAGGCATTTCGCGGACAGCTTGATCGCGGGAACTGTCTTTGAATAATGTGGTTGATGTGGATCTTCTGTCTCTCTCTCGTCCCTTGCATGGCTGATTTCTCTGCCGTGGAATCAGAATGTTTCATAAAAAGGACAAGAAGAGCCCTACTCTGGGCTTCCCGGTCCCATTTACCATTTCCTCCATTGGATGGCCGCACTCCTTATTCTCTCCCACCACGTCGATACAGACCCAAAGGCACATGGTTTGCATGTAGTCATACCGACTATTATCCCTTCCTCATCGGTATATCGGAGACGGTGAAGTAAGGGGGTAGATCGAAGGGAGGGCACTATCTCGGAGGATATGCGTTAACTGTGCCTTCAACATAAATATAGTTCAAACCAAATAGTCAAGTGGTAAGCCAAGAAGTTACTACTAAAGTGAGCTGACTCTGACAGCTGCGTTAGTACGGTGCGCAGTCAAAAACTAACTAATAAATGCGCGTCACTAACAGAAGTCTGTCGCGACATCCTCAATGAGAGCTTATCCATCTCGTAATCATATTTGGGAAAGCCCATTAAAGATTAAGAATGAATCCATAGAAAACGTACTTTCGGAAATCCGTCACTGCTGCTACGTCCGCTACGACCGGATGCTAGCGATGTGTTACTGTTAGCTCGATTCCCATTAGCGGACACAATGTGAGGTGCCTGTAGAAGAATAAGCGTTACAAGTGAGCTTTCAACAGAAGCTACTAAAAGCAGAAAACTCTGATATTAGATGATCAAATAGGGTGATAAATTGCGGGGACTACGTTCATACTAAGCAAGAGAAGTTTGTCAGAGAGGCGGGGTTACGTCAAAGGGTGGAGTAAGCCATAAGGTGGACGAGATACCTCACTTTGTTGCTCACACTGATTGTGAGTGTAAAGCCAGGCTGACCACCTCATCAACTGAGAGGGTCGTTCCTTAGGAGAAACTAAACTCCAAACTCCATGGCAAAAGTGAATGATGTGCCTTGAGTGAGTAATGTGCCTCGAAATCTTTTAGAGCATAAAAACATGCAAAGCAAAAATGTTGCGGTCGAGATGTTAGGGCAGCGAAAGCGCTTAGCCTTGCCCTTTTTAGTATTGGTCATGGCTTTTAATACAGCACCCTTCGAAAACAAACAAGTTAGAATTCAAGCGCATTCGTTATTTCGCGATCGAGGGTCACAGCTCCAAGTTAGGGACGATCTAAAGATGGCGGCAGGTTTCGCCTTCGCCCGACACAGCTCGCTCATTTACGGTCATACTACCAGTGCCAGGCTATCATGCGTATGTACTCTTTATTACCAATATTATGGTAATAAAATAAAATAATAAGTTCTGGGTGCTAATATGTCTCCACAGGATGTAAATTAGAGGCGGTATTCACTATAGGTGACGGAAGCATTCTGTTAGTTTTATAGATCCGGAGACCTGTGATCTCTTACAGAGCTATGAAAGGGTGCTCAGCGAGGCTTGCACGGGCCATTTTGCAAAGACCTCTATCTTGTAGAGTTAGTGCAGCCATAAAGAATGGAAGTCCCACCATCTCGTGAGTTAGGGGCTTATGGTTCCATCAAAGTGGCACGTCTACGATTGCCCAATTTCACAGCACCACAAAGGCCTGTAGTTCACATTAAGGTGGGAAACTTCAAAAAATTAGGATTCCCTCTCTCACCCTAAGGCAGCTATGCAGAAGTTTGGTGGCTTACAGGCCACCAAACTTCTGCATAGCTTATCAAAATAGCTATAAGGTTGG